AAAATATTAAATAAAAAATAAAAAAAAAAAAAAAAAAGGCTGAGCCGAGCGGAGCCGTCAAGCCATTTGGCTCGGCTCGGTTTGGCTTATGAACAGTAAAAAAATTGACTCTTTTATTTATGTAGGATTAGTCATAATAAGTTGTTCATTATAACAATTTTGACGGTGAGTCTGGTATCTAACTGATATCCACAATTGTAAAAATAATGCATAGTATCCAGATAAAGCATACTTTTATTTCACAATTGGCATGTGAGCATAATATTTTCATAGTAGATTTGATGGTGAGTCTGGCATGTAACTCAAATCCAGATCACGAATTTTGTTAGGTTATAATAGTTATAAGTAGAATTGTCGAATTATTAAGTGTCGATTTGGCGCAAATTCTTAGCAAAAAATGGATTTGTTGGTGTCAAATTATGATTCAGTAAAGAAATATATTGTTTTGATAAACCAATGATAAATATGTTGATTTCTAACCTATCATCACAGTGATAAATTGTTGTTGCAATGACCGATATGCCCCTTCATTATGATCACCCAAAGAAATATATTGGGTAAGGTTTGGGAAAATGTAATAAGGGACTAATGGTCATTTCGAGAATAATACTATTTAGTATCAGTTGTGTTAAAACACCCGTCTATGTGGCATGCAGGTGATATTAAGTGAAATTTTTAATGAAATGTATTGATATAGGATTCATTTAATTGGATCTATCATGTGTTGTCATTTAAATTGATGTTTAATATCATTGGTGATGAATGACACTACTTTTGTTTTCGACGCTTACTCAAGACTGAAAGTCAAAAAAAAAAATTATTATTAATGCGTGGAATTGGACATTTCAACTAGTGTAATTAGTTACTCGAGAGAAAGTGTGATTTAAATTTTAATAGGTGTTTAGAAAAATGACTAATTTTCCAACCGACCCTACAAGTCAAGTCTTATCGAGCTTATCTTCTTGACAATTCTACTCCAGTTTACTTTTCATTTTAACTGTTGGGGCGAAAGACTTGTAAACCAAAGAAAATTTCATTGGAGGCCATCTAATTTATAGGTTTATTTGGAATTAGTCACCAAAGTTTAAATTACTCACCTAAACTAATGGACAAACACGTTTGCTTGTAGAATGTGAGTTTTCAATGTTGGCAAAATAAAATCATATTCCATCCACGCCACACACGTGGATCTGCAGTTAAATTTTATCAAGGCGACAAACAAGTAATCCAATTGAAATAAAATCTTTCAGACACGTATTTTATTTAAAAGATGCGAGTTTTTAACGGTTGCATTTAATTTGATAACAACAATCTATGTCATGTACTCCATCTGATAGAGAAATAATAACACTATCAAATTTAGATCATCAACCATATTTCCATGTAGCTTCATCACATAGTTTGATTAGAATTTTGGAGACTAAAAGAGGCTCTTGTAGAATCTTATTTCAAAATATTCAATTCATAAATGCATTTAAATTCAACGCAATATCTTATATTAAGGTTTTCGCCTTTTCATATATGCCCTGGAATCGTTCGATTCAAAACTTACCTCGATTTGCTATGGTACTTGTCGCCCGCCAATCGTGTGATAGTTAATGGTATATATTGGAGTTTATTCTTTACGATTTTTGTAAATAAGAGTGTAACTTGATTTATTCTGGAATTCACCTCTAAGAAGAGTATGTTCTTGTACTGCAAATGAATGGAAAATATAAACTTTCGTTTATGACACGCCTTGACTTAGATAAAGATTGTATACCAATGTTATCTTAATGTGCAACTCAACCTGAGAAATAGTTGAAAAACAATTCAATATGAAAACAAGGCCAAAAATATAACAATCCAGTCATCCAGACAAGAGTTCAAAAGCAGACAATCACTAGACATAGAAAAGCAGAGAAAACTTTAGCCTTTTAACATGTCAACTTCCACCATTTTCTCAAGCATGCGTCTTTCACAAACTATGAGCTATCTCAAGAGCTGCATGCACATCCATGTGCCTTTTCATTTGAGTTGCATCAGCAACTCAAAAGTTTTAAAAAAAACTATAAAGCTCTTCAACTTATAGGGTAATGCTTTAAGACCTCGACAGCTCGACCTATAGTCTCATCTGCAATGCTTTAAACTTAGATTATGTAATTTAGAGCATCTCCAAGATGCCCTCTATTTTTAAAGAGCATATTCTATCATTTAGAGATCATCTATGAATTTAGAGGGTTTAAACACACTCTCTAAATTAAAATGTTAATTTAAAGAGTCTCCTGTAGCATGATTTTAAATGTTGAAAATAAAGAGCATCTCATTTTTAAAGAGTCTTTTGGAGATACTCTTAGCATGGTATCAGAATAAAAGTCCTAAATTCAAATCTCGATGTACTCAAATTATAATGTGAGAGTACAACAAAATGTTGTTGAATATAGTACACGGGCCTATAGACAACAAATAGTCTATCCCCAACGCGAATGCAAATCTCTATTTGTAGTGGGATTGACCTAAATAGGGGACGGGGGTGAAGCGATCCTCGTGATGCATGTAAGTCATCAACATTGAATAAAGAAGGTGAAACTAGCCAAGTTGACTACCAAATTGACCATCCCGGGAAGGTGGGGGCATCAGTCACTAGTCCTCTTATTCAAAAAATATTTTTTTGGATCTTAAATAACAGACGGATTGCAGATATGGGTTCATTTTCGTGTTAATATGAGTAAATATAAAGTTAAATGGATACGAAATTATGACACCCAATTAGCTATGTCAACGAGTCGAGTCGAAAAAAAAAGCTCGGGCTCGACTCGAGATTTTTTGGGCTCGAGCCAAGCCGAGTCTGGCCAAAAAAAATAAGGCTCGGCTCGAGCCTTAGCAGGCCAGTAGAGCCGGCTCGATTTTTTATTTTTTTCAGCTATTTTAGCTGCCTGCTTTGAGCAGGTAGCTTTAAATTTTTTTTATTTTTATTAAATTAATTACGGGCTGGCCAGCCTCGTTCGAGCTTTTTTGCCACCATTACACCCAACTGTTTAAAATGGCAACAT